GTCCCTCACCACCGCCTGTCTTTTTTGTCCCCTCACATGGTAGTTCCTGGACCTTTCCTTCAACAGCCTGACTGGGGAGGCCATCTGTGACCTGGGCATTCTGCCACATCTCCGCGTCCTGCTCCTCACAGGAAATGGGCTGACCTCCCTGCCTCCCAATTTGGCAGTCACAGAGCAGTAAGTTCTACCTGCAGGAATCCACTCCTGTGCTTCCATGGGAGCTGATGCCTGTGCACACATGGACCAGAGGACACCGTGTCCAGCAGCTTGGACATCCTGTCAGGACAGGCTGAGTGTGCGTGCTCAGAGCAGGGAGACGGCCGCCCTCTGAAGGGCCCAGAAATGACAGCCAGGCGGTGTCTTTGGGAGCAGGGTCCCACAGAATGGGAGGCCTCACACGGGCACCCTACTTTCCTGTGGATTATTAGGAGACACCAGGTGTCTGGCAAATCATTTCTAAGCTGTGGCTGTTGTTCTAGCCTAACTCTCCCCTCCTCAGGAACCCTGTGACTGCTTTCATGCTTAGTGCTGTCCTGTCCGTTGTGAACAAAACCCCACCCGGCCCTCTGCCATCCCCTTCCTGTCATGTCTGCGCACACGGTGGCAGCAACGAGGTCTGCCCACCTTGCTGAGGGCCTGCCTTCCGCTCACTGCCCATCTGCCTGATCAAGCATGGTGTCCTCTGCTGGGGATTTGTCTCTGCTGACAACATACAATTCGTTCGTAATGCTTTCAGTGGCCAATTCCTTAGCGATGGACAGCCTTGTCCTTCTTCATAGTCTCAGCTCAGTCTGGAAGATCTGCCGAAACCTTGGGTCCCTTCTGGTGTTTGAAATCCTGGTAGCATAGCTTCCCGCATCCCCGAAACATGCATACCCCCACCGTGCGACAAACTGACAGACAAGGGGTGTTGTGGCTGCCGTAGCCCATGTCTAGGCCTCTTTCTTGAAGCATCTGTTGAGTTTAATGTTTCCCCAGTTAGGTGAGGTGCTTGGTGTATTCTGGGGGTGG